CTAGCATTCGGCTTACGCACGTTTCGGCGAGACCGCCTTCATCAGAGCCTGAAAGGACCGAAACGATTTGCGACTATCCGATCAAATGTCTCTGCAGCCTACTGAAGTTCGACCCTAGACAAAGCTAAGAGCGCAGGTTTTGAGACAATCCCTTTTTCAGTACTGTGACGAAATGACGAGTGTTCTGCGCCGTGTGGTGACGAATGCTGCCGGCTGGATGCGGCTGGCAGCACATGTGGTGTTCTCAGTACTCGATACATTGGAGCAGTACGCGATTCGAAGGATGGCAAAGAAAAGGCCAAATGATAAGGTCAGTATGCTTCTGTTATAGGTTTTTTTCCAGGGGTTTCACACGTAATTCTTTTTCCGCTTCAGGAACTGGAGAGGACGCAAGCGTTTTTGTCTCGGGTCTTCTCTGAAAAGGCAACCAACGGTTCATTACTGGTAGTAGTGGCTGCCGAGAGGTGTCAATGCATGCATAGAGCTCTTCGATGGTAGGGTTATTACTCTCAGTCAGTACCCAAGTACAATATTTTAACTAGTTGGTATTGTAAGTGTTAGTGGTCTATTGCAGGTGCGAACAGCATGAGATCAAGCAGGACAGCTTTGGTTGTAATATCTTTGATCGGAATCATTTCTTCACCCTTGAGGTAAGCTGCTTCAAGCTTTTTCGGACAATTGTAGTTGTCACCAGCCTTTATTCCGGGCTGTCAAATATTTCTAGTAATTTCAACTGCTATTCTTGAGTGTTGTCTTCTTTCCCAAGTATTATGCAAATCCGAGAACTAACTACTTATTTTACAAAGTTTTTCTGATTGTAAAAGTCTACAGGCAGCTGTTCAGCGCTTGAACGAAATGGTTCAGTAGCCTAAAGGCATATGCAGCTCCGATTGGCGTGCAGACGCCGACGCTGAACAGAGTAGTCCTGTCTGTTAACACAGAGGATATATCACTTTTGCGACTCAAAAAAAGTTATAAAGACGCCACACTCTGAAACTGAAGGCAATGCTCCCGCCCACTGCGCAATACTACGCACACAGTTCACCTCCAACTACCACCTGATGATACGGCTGTCGCCAGTAGTTCTTTCCTTTTCGTGATTAAAAGTGATGTCAAGGTGAAAGAGGTGATATCGCTATCATATCAACAAGTGAGAACTCGTCCAAGCATGCCCTCTTTTAGCCTGATATTCCTGAAAGTTTTGGCAATGGGGTCATTTCGCTGCATTTTAAACAATACCTGTTTCCACACTATGGGAAGTTGAATTATCACCTTCTCTTTAGGTACCTGAGCCTCGCTTCTACGATTTTTGGACGCCGGCCACACGGATTGCGGGCTCTCTCGCTAGCCTCTAGCGAATAGTAGTCCGCTTCCCTTTGAGGCTCTCTTCAAAGGGCGATTTAACTGGCCAGGGTTTCACCATTACGTTTTGTAGGAGTACTGCCGGTTGCTGTGAGAGGGGTGGCGGACTTTAGCTGGAGTAGCATACGGTAAGTACGGTAAGATACTGTATGCCACCACCCAGCGCATATCCCGAGGCCCGCATATCCCGAGGCCGCCTGCGGCATGACCTCGCTTAATTGCTGCGCTGACTGCTGACCTCTCACTGGCTACTCAACGTAACGAGATGTATCGATTTGATTATTCACAAGGTCGAGTGTTAGGAAGAAAATTTCTATAAATTTCTATAAATATAAATTAAATTTCTTTATAATGACAATAGATTAACAACGAAACAAATAAAATGCACTTCTTAACAATCTAAAAATTATATGGTTTTACTAGTTACATATCTAGCCATCCTTCTACAAAAGTCTTCTATTTGATCCTCAGTGGGCACGCTTCGATAACATTCTTCAAATCTGAAAGCAGTAGAGCGGTATTGCATCTCTTTTACTTGCAGTGCTTGGAAAACCCACTCTCTCATTTCCTCGGCTATTTTTGCTCTTCTCTCCAGATCTCTTTTCCGCAGCACTTTGGCATGGGCTGGGTCCTGTAATGAACGTTGAATAAACACTCGGAAATGGGTACTTTAGCAACATGGTCAACTTCCAACCTCCTGCAGGCGTCTGAGAGTAGCACGTGTCTCGAAATTGAGCTTCCGAAGAGTGTCGATAAGTACACTTAATGGTGGATGGTGTACAGGTATGAGGCGCTGTCGTGGGGTTTTGGGCATTTCACGCAGGACTATGGGCGACAAAGGTGGATGCGGCGCTGGGAGAAATCTGTGATTTCGTGAAGTAGAATGGGCGACAAAGGTGGGGGCGCTGTCGAGGGGTTTGGGATTTCACGAGGAGCAATGGGCGACAAAGGTGGAGGCGCTGTGGAGAAATCTGTAATATCTTGAAGTAGAATGGGCGACAAAGGTGGGGGCGCTGTGGAGGAATCTGTGATTTCGTGAAGAAGAGTGGGCGACACCTTCAATAAGGTGGGAGCAGTAGCAGCAAGGTCAACAGGAAAGAGGCTATAAGAGAATTGAAGTGTGAAAGGTCATCCTGTAAGAATTAATTTGCCTTTGGAAGGTCATTTGTTGTATATGAACACCTAAACAGAAACATTTGGAAAATTTCAACACGTTTCTCTTCCTTGCGAACATTTATCCTCAGCCCAATATTCATAGAATTACGAAATTACTGATTTTAACTTATTAAATCCGATTATCATACGTATTCGAATAGATTCATCTCGTTACGTTGAGTAGCCAGTGAGAGGTCAGCAGTCAGTGCTGTAATTAAGCGCGGTCATGCCGCAGGCGGGCCTCGGGATATACGCTGGGTGGTGGCATACAGTATCTACAGTATCTTACCGTATGCTACTCCAGCTAAAGGTGCTCACCCCTGGAGAGAGGAGTACTGTTTTCCTGCTGTGAGGAGAACTTTCTGGCCGTAGTTTCCCGTTTCACGCGTGCTTTATCCCCGTGGCTTCACCGCGACTCTACCATTTCTGATGGCTAACCAGAAAGTTCTACTAACCCTCTGGTTACCTATCAGGGTGGGAAAGTGTTGTCGTACCAGAAAAGAAATTTGGGGGGGGTTCTCATCGTTTTGCAAAAATTTTCCACAACGTGTGGTGGCCAAGGGATAACGGAGGTCAAGCAAAGTCTATGTTCTTGCCACGCACCCTTCAGCTTCTTTGGGCTGCGTTATACTTTATCGTCACGCGGCGCTAGCCGCTTGCAGCAACGCAGCTCGCTCGCGACAGCTTTGAAGTTGAGCACAAACTGCGGCGGAATAACGTCCGCTGTAACGCTGATGGGACACTAACGTTGGGCTATATCGCTACTTATAGCTCCCTACTCTCTCGATACGCTTATGGACACTGGCGGACGCTGGTAAACGCTGGCCTTCGCTAGATCAATATATATACTCCCTAATCATGGCGCCATGTTGGGCGCTTCTGTGAACGCTTGTGGTCGCTGGTGAACGCTGGCGCTAAGTGAGAGCGCAGCCTTAACATCTGTTCAGCTGTCGTCATACCATACCATGTGTAATTGGATTACATTTTATAAAATTTAGCGCATTTATACTCAACTACAAAATGTGGACGGCGTCTTGGGATCATTTGAGTGTATTTCAACATGTACTTCGCCAACAGCGGACGAAAGGATTCTGGCCCTAGAAGCGAACGGTGATTATAATGAAGCGCTACCGCTCTACGCACAGTCTGTGAATAATAAGGAGGTACCTTTTCTTGATCTAAAACTATTTTTAGTTGTCTAATGTGCTGTCATTTTCATTTTTTTTACAATTATTCTTATTGCTCTTGATTGTCCCGGATGCCATCTTTGCGTCTTTTTATGGAACTTGTTGGCTCTCAGCGATCTAAGATGGTTCTTTTTTGGTTCCCGGGACAAGGAAGGTTTCAGAGCTTGAGATCCTTCTCGCCGCTTCCGGCACTGCCTGCGTGCTTCGTTTCATCACGTTGACTCACATGATTGGAGTGAGCGCTCACCTCGAGCCTACGAAGGAGGGGGGGGGGAGGCTCCTACATCCGCCTGGGATACGGGAGCAGCGGTTCACCGGACCGCGAAATCTTAACTCTACAGATGTTGATAATAACAGCAGCATTTTTTTCGGCAGAATACGTTACAACTTGAAAGTTCACAATAACAGCAGCATTTTTTAAAAAACTACTTTTTGATTATTCAGTTCCTTACAGTGTTTCTTATGGGTGATTTTTATTGTTCTGAACTTTTCCTCTTTTTAGCTTCAACTCATCAAATGTCTACTACGTCTAAATCAACCTCAATTGGCACTTGAACACAGCAATCTCGTTTCAAGAAAACGATGAAAAATCTTCTCAATTAGCAAGTTCCTTAGCGTCAAGCCAACTAGAAGCCACTTGGCATCTTAAGAGACTGGACTGGATTGGAGAAAATGGTCCAGGTTTGTTCAATTCGTCATTGTGTTGCTCAATTTCATCCTTCTGTAGCTGGCCCAGTGATCAACGAGCTTTCGCTTCTTTCGCTCAACCTCTTCCTCGGAATCCCCTCCCTCCCTCCGCTTCCTAAACTTTCCCAGCACGGGGTAACCGACTTTTCTTTAACGAAGAGACAGTTTTTTCAGACCTTTCCGGTCCCCCTCCCCCATACTGCCATTGACCGGGGTTGAGTGGGGTGTAGTTTACTCGAAAGAGCAAAAGGGCGAGCAGGCTACAACCGAACCTACCCCATCCCCCCTCGCTGGGAATCTCCAATGTTCGACGTAGCGTACGGGATTGCCGGGTGGGCGGTCCCTGGAAGTCCACATCATTGGTCAACCACCCTTGGTCCTTAATATGTTCTATGTGATGGTGAAGAAAGCGGAAAGGCGAGGGCGCGCCAGCTTAGTCGTTCCTTGGATCCATTCATCCAGTAGTCCTGGTCGGGTGTCACTAAGAGAGGGTTAGCACAAGCCTGCAGAACCTCATTGATGACATACCTCCTCACGCGCATCTGTCCTATTCCACCTCCCCGGTGCGTGCGCCCCCCCCCCCCGTTCTAAGCAGTCGCGCTTGACATTACGATCTCTTTGTCGCACTCAAAATCACTTTCGAAGGCCCTCTGCTTTGCGGTACTCTTTGAACAAGATACAGAGACGTGAAAACCTGGTCTTCAGTATGATCACCTCTCCACCATCACCACGACTACGATTTCCTTTTTTCGAAACCAAGTTCCATCGTCCCAGTATTGCTCACACCCCTTATATCTGTGATCTGTTTCCAGTGCCCTTCTTGAAAGGAGGATCTTTTTTATCCTGTTTCCCACACATCGAATTTTTCCCCGCGATGTGGTTTCGACGCCTGGTCATTTATCGTTCTTTTTTATAACTTAAAGGACGCATTTTGGTAAATTTAGAAGACGTCCTTTCTGGGCCAATTCCTACATTGTGAACGCTTAAATCCTTTAAGAAAGTGCTGATTCCTTTACTGGAATCGCCATCGATTCGTCCGTGGGGAGCGGCTGTGCTTCGATTCTATGTGGCAGTGAAACTCGTGAACCTAGTGAAACGTCGTGAACCTACGAAGTTGACCGAAAGGCTACTGGCAGCTCGTCAACGCCTCGTCGAGCGAATCACAGCAAAAACTATCGAGGATTCGAATACGTACACTCAAGCGTACAAGTACATTGCCAAGTAAGTTTGTTTATGCTATAGAGCCATGGTAACCAGGTTTTTATATTCATTGAAGGCAAGCCCGCGATAAGCCAGTGGAACTATTCTCTCGATGTGTGAAGTAGCTAGGCCCCAACCACAGAGGCAGCGGCTTTTTTTGCAAATTGAAAGCGCTTCTTTAGGGTGCCAAGAGCTAGCGATTTATGACTAACCACGCCCTTCAAAGCGAAAGACGCCCACATCGCACGGGTAGAACCACTCTTCCTTGTCTGTGTAACTTATAGCCCTTCGTTGTCTCATCCGACCCGAGTGGTCAGTGTCTCTGCAGTATGCTCGCTTGTCACCCAAAATCAAGTGCACAAGGGGGAGTTCGGTAACGGTGCTTTAGATTATTTGTATAACTTTTCCTTTCTGGCAAGTCAATTAGCGTCTATGGATTCCTATTTGAACCCCTGCTGCATAACGCTTATCGTAGGTTATTTCTTCAAAAACACATTTCGCGATAGGCGGATGGGTGGAGACCCACCATTATTGTGCCTCCCTCATTGGTGCGTTTCTTCCTCTAGTACAGTGTAGTGGAATGGCGCACTAACAATAAGAGTGTTTCACTGCCAGTACGGTTTTGTTGCTGGGGCGTGTCAGAAGGGGGTGGGGGAGGGTGTAATTGGCGTGGCGTTAAGTCGTTCTCCACCGCTTAATAAAGCTTTGAAGCTTTAAAGCGGCCAGAAACGGGAAATTTGTGGGAAACGGCCTGACGCCCATCCAAAGCTAGACTTCTGATACGCCCCGACTTCCGCTGCGAACAAGACTGTAAGGCTCCGCCCACTTCCACGCCCTCACTTGCAATATGTGCCTCTAATCTTCTAAATGCGTTTTGAAACGCGAATTCATGAACAACAATGCTGTTCTTGAAAGTGCGCCACACTCTCCCACCCTGAAACGCTCCCTTTCAGCCTTACACCGTCCCTGGTCCCTAGAGAACAGTAGACCGAAGGCCTAACAACAAGCTCGTATTGTCCCTTCTATCACCAGAAACCGGATCAGATCTCATTTCCGCCTACATCCACGTTGGCATTTATTAAGTGCGCAGGTATGCCTAGAACGTGTTCGCTTCATTCATTATCATTCTCACTCCTCCTCCCACCTTTTCCCAACTGAAACCGGTCTGCCCCGCAGCCCGCAGTGCTCGAATATCCTGGAGCCAATACTGTTGGTACGTCGTGAGTTGCTGCGCGCTACAGCTGACGTCGGAGCAGTCGATCGCCGAGAGGTCGATAACGCTATCACTCAGCTTCTAGTGCAGGTAAGGAGCTCTACAAATTTGTCCAGGAGTCCAGATTTGGAGATTCTGAGCTTCCTACCACTCAGTATCTTTCTTTTCCAGAGTTGCCGCTTAGCTCGACAATCTGGCCATGTCCAGATTGCTTGGACGTTCTTGGTGGAAGCGAAGGCGTTGGGCGTGAACCTGAAGGATGTAGGCATGGAAGAGGCGCGCTTTGAATTCCAGAAGGTAAGTCCTTCTGAGCCACTAGATCATTGTGCCTCCATTTCCTGGTGAGATATTTTCAGGGTAATCAATCGCAAGCGATCGGACTTCTTACCAAGTTGCTGAACACCAAGTTTGCCGACATGAACAAATTGTTCACGAATTTTGTCCACTGGCATGAATGTGGCGCAAAGAGCACAGCAGACTCGCCCGATGTTCTTGTGAAGAAGACCAGCAAGGAGTCAAGAGCTGCGTTTGCCGAGGTGCAGTTTCGTCAGGAAAATTTTAGGAATTTGAGCTTGAGGGAGATTTTATCGCCAGTGAGCTGCTGCGAATTAGATGGGCTGTCGTAAGTGGGTAGGAGATCCTTTTGCTTGCGGCGACGCAGGGAGAACGCCGTCGCAACTGTCATGACGTGCGTGGCGTTCGCATCTGGACTACAGTCATCATCTCTAAGCGAAAGGACATGTCAAGGGCATGGATTGCAACAAATTAAGGCAGCTACCACCAACTTTTGCTGGCCCAAAAATCTCACAACTTGTGAAAAATGCCGTTCTGGTTGCGCTCCATCCATGCTCCCATGCGCCCTCTTGTTCTGGGATAGATGCTGTAATTGATATGATGCTGAAATGCTACAGTCGTCATCCGGTGACTTGATTATTGCGGCAAGGGACGCGGCGCGGCTGCGGTGTGTTGCGAGCGCGGCGATCACCTGTTTCCAGCCTATTTTAGTCATTTTCTCCCTAGTTTACGCTGTTTTGGCTGCTTTTCTCACGATTAGTTGTTTCTTGTCTTCACAAGGTAAATTATGATTGAGATTCTTCTGGTTTTTGCGCAGCACTTAAACAGTCAAGCAACAATCGAAACAATAGCTGACAAAAAATTGGGCAAAACACTCCTCGTTCCCTAATATAATCCCTATGTACGACGATGGAACAGCTGACCTCAAAAAAAATAGAAAATAATCGTGAAAAAAAAGCAGCCAAAACAGCGTAAACTAGGGAGAAAATGGCTAAAATAGGCTGGAAACAGCTGATCGCCGCGCTCGCAACACACCGCAGCCGCGTCGCGTCCCTTGCCGCCCCGCAAAATTCAAGTACACCGAGCCATGAAGAGATGAATCAATTAGGCTGCTCTGACATATCAATTAGCATGGGAATCGCTACAGTCAGAGTTTTCAAAAAAGTAAAAGCACAACGCTCGTTGCGACTGGGTTGTGGTAGTCCGAACCATCTGAGCGTTCGCACTGCAAGGGAAAGGTAACAGTGAATTGACGAGTTCTCGTCGCCCACGCGCAACAGCGTGGGCTGGCCCTGTCAAGCGAAAAATGATTTGTCCCCCGTTTCGGTGGCAGCTACTGCGCCTGCTGATACGTGCTGAAAATCAGGAGCTGTGGCTGCAACAGATCTCTACCAAATCTATTTGTCACTACAGCGATTTGATGTGTCTTCTGAAGATCTTCATTATCGTGTAGCAGTGTTTTGCGATGGAATGTATAGGGCATTGAACTGTGACAAGCCAAGTGAGTAGTGTTTTTTATTAAAGTTTCGCGCCATTCTCGGCGGAGCCTCAACAGAAAATCCTATTGTGAAAACTGAAGATTGCCCAAAAAGAATTATTGCAAATGGCTTCAGTGGATCAGAAACAGGGATCAAAAGTTTTTTGCGTACTCTTTGCTTGCTTTGAATATTTCGTTGGGTGATCGCTCATGCGTCGGCCAACAATCTGGACTTTTGCCTGCTGATGTACGGGGGTACCATTAAGGTGAACGCCGTCTTGGAGAACGAGGTCAATACTTCGAGGGAGGTCTTCTGAGTCAATCACCTCTCCCGAGGGTCTGGAAACATATTCTGCAACTTCATAGGCAATCAAATTGAATTGCTTCATCAGAGCTCCTAGTCTTCTAAATCGTCCGTTAAAATTGTTACGGTTCAAGTCGACAGTGATACCTGGTGGCAATAGGTGTCTGAATCCTATTCTACGAATTTCGCGCTTAATACGCTTTTGGAGCGAACCCATACTTGCTTTTTCAATCCACCGCTCAGCTGCCATGCCCCACGAATGACTGACCAATAATGGTTGGATGTTAGCCACAGAAGGTAAGATCACCTTACGCCCATCGCGAAGCTGCAAAAGAGCTGATTGAGTATTGTTTGAATCTAACTGGAGAAGACTTACCATCAAGGGGCCCCTTCGGGAGTTGAAGGCGATCATAGACGGGTGATCAAGTTGCCGCAGAGGTGCTAATATGATTCAGTTTCTCAGCACTTGTTTCAGACAGAAGCAATTCAAAGCCGAGGATCTGATGCCCGCGCCACTGAAATGAACAATAGAGACACAGCGACCTTCGCACCAAGTGCGGTGAGTGGGTAATTCCGTCTGATTTACTTGAAATTCTGCTTGAATTGGTGCGGTGTTGCATACGGACCTAAAGACACATTCAGCGGTAATCAAGTGTGCAGTGATTGATGGTCATTGTGACTTACTCATTCGCGCACCATTCTTTTTTACCATTAGAGTGGGTGGCGTACAGTCCTCATCATTGCGGACCGGTGGGGCGTGTCAGCCAGTATGAGTGTGCACACTGTTGAAGCCGTTCTCAGCCTTTTTGTTGAAACGCGTATGCGACAAAAAGTGGTAGAAAACGAGTAATACGAAGGATATAATACAGTAATGTCACTTGCCCGCTTCAACAACTGGTGCAGAACGACTTTGGCACCGCGCCAAACGCAGCCGCACTGACACGCCCCACCGGTCCGCAATGATGAGGACTGTACCTGTGAAGCAAGCCCGATACTTGTAAGCCTCCGCCCATTCGGTTACCGCGGAATATATCTTCAACTGACTCCGATACTGATAAATTCTAGATGAATACGGAGATTTCTCGTGCATTTCGGCAACTCGATTCGTACGCGTTTTATACTGCATTCCCTCAGTTGATCTCTCGCATAGTGCACCCTAACGCGTCAGTTTTTTCAACGCTGAAGGTGAGGATGACCTTCTCTGTTTTTTCTTATTTTTCTAAAGTCAAACCTTTGTTAGCTGACATTGCTTTGCTTACGGTCAGCTCAGTTCTGCATAAAAACTATCGCTTTTAGGCCATCTTAGCTGATCTTATCTGCAAATATCCCCATCAGTGCATATGGCAGTCAATTGCTGTCTACAGAACTGGTCCCTGGCAGAAAAGTATTCGACAGGAAAGGTTGGAATTGAAACTTTTTGCGGCGTGACCCTCCGAATCGAATCCCTGTTATTCTTAGAATAAACGCGTGAGCGAACGCATTTGCGTCCGCCTCTTCACTTGTCTCTGTGCTCTCTCATCCCTTCGCCGTCTGCTCTCTCATCTAGGCCCTCGGTGTTGCTTCGCCGCATTTTCGTATTGCGCTCAAAATTCGTTGCAGAGCTGGTTTCGTTGAGAGCATTTTTGGCTGGATCTCAAACCTTCGAGAGTTCCCTCACTTTATTTGTTGCTAACATGAAATATGTACTTAACCCGTAGCTCGCAGTACTACGTTGCTTCAGATGTTCTCAAGTATTCGCTGTGGTGAAGAATAAGCGACACAATATGGATCAACTTATCGACCAGTATGACTACGTGGCTGCCGCTTTGATCGAGTTTGTTGATTTTGCACACTTTTTCTTTAAAGCTGGTTACAGTGGTGACCTAAAGAGAATAGAACATCTCTTGTCTCTGATGGTTGAAGTAATTCTATTTCCAGATTGGCTGAGAAAAAGGTGAAGAATTGTGGCTCATTCTCTGACCTGCCTCGTGTTTCTCCTCGTCTCCATAACTTCTTTACGTCCGGCGAGCTGCAGTGTGGCATGCTTAGTAAGTGAAGTCTCATTCAGCAGACTTTGGAAATGGGCAGGAGATGCCACTGGTTTCAACCCTGAAGTACACAGCTCTCTTGCCATTGCCCCATCCCCCCTTCGTACACCTCTTCTCCCGTTTACGTAGTATCTCAAACCCTTGGGCATGGTGCTGTCACGAAATCATGTAACGTTCAGAATACAGATAAAGGACAGTGGCTGCCGAAGGATTGAATTGTTCAAGAACATGTGGCCGAGCCAGGATATGAGTTTTCCGAGGCGGGATAACTTCTAGAGCGAGCCACGTATCATTCCTGGAAAGCTGGATTGAGTGAGGGTCACAAAGACCATAGTATACCATAAGGACGAGAGGGAGAAAGGCAGAGACTGGCGCATTCAAAGAGTTTAACGCTCAATTGTCCATGCGGGCCCCATCCCCTCCGCGCCTTGCTGCTGATAGCGTTGTGGGTTTGGAGCTCTTTTGAAAGACCTTACAGTTGTAAGGAGCTTTCGTAAGTATGAGCCTCAGTTTTGTGACCCATGTGAATCATTCAGTGGGAGCAAGAGATCGCGGCTTGTCAGGTGTCCGTACTGTGTCACCTTCGATTATGATTCCGTTGACGGAAATGATGGAACATGCGCTACCGAAGGAACATAATGACCAGGTTATTTACAAATTTATTCCATACTGATACTTAAGTATTTATGCTCATTTCTTGTTCCTCTCTACAACTAAGCAAGTCGAAAGAAGGCAAGTCTTGACCAGGCGTCTCGAACGGACTCACGGCTTAAAGCGAGTGCGTTAGATGTTAGATTGCACGCGAGTGCGGCCTTAACCTCTCAGCTTGCTGGCTTTATGCTTTCTACTACAAAAAACGAATATAGGCTCGTGTTTATATGGTGGCTCACATTTGGACTTGTTTCCCAAGATTCTTTCGGAAATGTGACCAGCAATCAGGTCTATTGCTCAGGAGGTCCACGTCGGAGGTCCGCGGTGGGTAAAGAGGTCCACTTATGGCGTGTGGCCAAAGGTGTGCTCGTGAGTACCATAGCACGAGCTAAACTAGGTATAAGCTACGAACGCACACAATTGGTGGGAGAGCGAAGGAGAATGGATTGTACATTGTCTTCATGGGATGGGAGGGGCGAAGAGGCCTTACTTATCTCGCCATCCACCCTCTTTGTCTCTCTCAACGGAAACGTAGTTTGTGAGTGTGAAGCGGAAGGGGTCGTATTTCGAACAAAAGTGTTCTATCGCGAGGAGGTTCTGATCATGCTCGACGCGCAATGCACATGATCTACGTCCCGTAATGGGGTCTTCTGATATCGGCAGTCGACCGCAAGAAGGGGGCGAGTAGAAAAATGTCTCAGATATTGGTGGCAATTAGAGTCCATAGCTCCATTTTCGCGCCAATGGAGGTGTAGCAGAGGAAGCGTCGCCTTCTATTACAAAGCTTTTCAAGGCGCGACATGCTAGGGGGTATCTTATCTATGGGCTTTTCAGGCGATTCTCAAGGAGGGCACATTGTAAAGTACTAAGTGCCTGTGAAGGGCGTGGCTAACTTGCTCCATTTTACAGAATTACAAGAACTTGCAGCTACTTTGATGATACCTGTCAGTTAACATTAATTAGTAAACCCAAATAGCGGTAGTGCAATGCCTCTCTCAAGCCGAAGCGCCCTTTCGAGGACCTAAATAAGTACATTCTTGATTATTTCATTTGATTGTTTCATTTTAGGAGGGGTAATTTTCTCGAACCATCGAGTTGAAATTGCTTCACTGAAGATGAATTGTTTCAGGTGTGGGCCCGATTTTCACATTGTGATGGATACAACTACTACACCAACCGAATCGCTCACCGAATTACCTGAAGTGTTCATCGCTAATGTCGATCCGGATTACCTTGTACGTTGAGCTCTTCGCTACCAATGGTCCCTGGTGCATGACTTCCAAGCTCAGTATGCAGTTTACTTTTTTGAATCCATAATCCGGAGGTTTTTAGGTGCTGAAATCCCTGCTTAAACCCAAACGAATAGCGCTTCGAGGTGGCGACGGACGTCGATATTTAATTATGTGCAAACCGAATGATGAGTTACGCAAGGATGCTCGTTTTATGGATGTGAACAGGGTAAGAATCGATGGGTTTTATATATCCATAATTTGATTAAGAGTGGCGCAAATTAATTAGAGTGGATGTGGTTCGTGGCCCTTTCCCTGTTTTCTGTCCCGAGGCGTCCTTAAATGTGTGCGCTGGCGAGGTTTATGCCAGAAAATGAATACTAAAATGATTCATTAACACTGATTTCATTCCTGCTCCCCCGCTGTTGTTTCGGTTTCCAGAGCTCTTTCCGCCCTTTCGGGGACGTGTCTTCCTAGTGAGTGAGATGAGTGAGGGGGGTGGGGGGGGGGACATAGCAGTGTGGAACAGGAAGCTTCCCGGATGAGAGTTAAGTAGAAATCTGAAAGAGCTGTCAATCGAAGATTTCGTCGCTTTGCAGTCCCTTGCTGTATGCGCGCACACATTCTCTTCCCTTTCAGATCGAATGAGTTAGGTTGAATTATATGAAGCCGTATCACGCCTTTTGCTGGAAATAAGTGAAATGAGAGTGAACTCTATAACATTGATTTCTGCAGGAACCTATAGTAAGATAAGTTATGCTCGTCGCAGGACGGTCCAGGACGAGTCTGTTAACCAGCGACCGATCCGAGAAAACGTGGCTATCCTGGGTGGAAGTCGATCCGGGGCATGATACCATACAGATCTGCGCCACTTGCCACTAAACCGTTGTTGTTTCCACCAACAATATATGTATGACATCAATAAAAATAATTTTCGAGATTTCAGTTGTCCGAAGGGAGGCCCGTGACAATATGCTGATTTTTTGCGATATTGGTGGCGTTGCTCCGAACTGATTATGCAGTTGTTCCCGGATCTGCCAGACAGAGATAAATTCTTTCAAAAAAAGCATGTTTTTCCTGGCTTCCTCGTGCAGCGGCTTCTAAATCTCGTTATACCCGCGTTGCCTCTACCTGGAACCAAATGACGATTTGGAGGGAACTGTGGCTACCCTGAAAGCAGCCGAGCTGATTCTTCTGTCTATCCTTTTTCCAGTGTCTTACTTTGTTTTCCGAAGGGAAAGATGAAGGAGGTGGGCTGGATGTTTTGGTTATTTTTGCCTGATTTTCAATATGTATAACAAGTCGAGAGAGTGTTTGCTGTTACAGATAGATGAACAGAGCCTGAATGAGTGCAAAATAGGCGGGATTGCCCAGCCGAGCCACTCTTCAGTGGAACACTTGAGCGTCTCACCTACTTCGGTTTAGGGCTTCCGTGTTGTTGCTTAGCTTTTTCGGTAGACTCTCCACTTTTTCGTAATAGAAACTCTCCAGTTTTAGCGAGTATGCGACAACCAAGTTGGTGGGTAAATACGATTTATACGTAGCGATAACGATATGATACAGTATATCGGCTAGAAAAAGGAAAAGAAGGGCTGGCGTCCTGCGCTAGACCCATGGCTGAGAGCCCACCATCCGCGGCGAACAAAAGCTTGATCTGTATGGAATGTGCTCTGAACCAGCAGGGGGTGCATCGAGGTCGGTTCCCGCTTGGGAACCCTGATTATCTTGAATACAGGCAGCTTTTTTTAAAGTAAACTCTATTTCTCTGTTTTAAACTGGCATAGGGTGACTTCCTGAACTTCAGTTGAGATGAATATCCACGGGAGACATGCTTTCTTTCTCACTCTCATGCATTTTTTGGACCAGACACTCAGACTGCGAGATATTTAGATTTACTCTATAAATCACACTGAAATGGACAACCACTATAATACATCTCTAATAAATTGAACGTCTCTCTGACTAACACTTCACTAACGAATAAATAAATAAACATTTGTAACATTGACTCTCTGACACAATACATGAGAAATGAGCGTGCGGTCGCGGAGCAGCTTGCATGAGCCAGGCATGCAGCACATGCCGATCGCATCAGATGCGCGATTCCACTTAGTAGCAGCCGGTTTGGCTTGTACAGTAACTATACTGATAGATCTAGTGATCCTTTTTTGTGCTATCTTTTTTAGTCAGTAAAAACAGAAATGACAGTTATTTGTTAAGAAACAGTCAATAAAAAAAAAAAGCGAGGGGAATGTCTTTGTCATACACTGTACATGTTGGGTTTGTTATGAAGAATAGAAAAGAGCGGGCATTTACAGCGCCATATAAATTCTCTATTTATAAATATCGTTGCTCTAAGATGAGATCTCAGCGTTTTGATCGGCATATTGCTGAAAAGAATTCTTTCAATAACACTGGTCTTTGTTAGCGAACTACATTCGATATCCCGAAGATGGAGAGGGCGTGGCTACAAACTCCAATTAAACATTGCGCAAGATGCTTCCGTGGTATAGTATATTTATTTGAGACTAAACTGCGTACTGACAACTGGTCAGAGCTGCTTACTATTGTCGGAGTGACGCAAGCACGCCTCCGCACTTCGGGAATCCAGAGGCGCAATTCTTCTAAAGGTATCTTACCTTTTTCTCCCTCTACCAATCAGTCGTATCAACGGTTTCCAATGGCGATCATTTCTTTTTCCAACTGTGAACGAGCCAAGTGTGTGTGTATATGAGAACAAGCTTCAGTCTCTTCGGCATAGTTGCTCTCAAAGTGTTCTCGATGATTAGAACATTTTTGATGTTCAGGAAGTGGAGGAATCGTTGAATGGGTTCGCGAAAGTCCCTTATAGAGGTGTTCTGCAGCCACTTTTTGAAGAGAAAGGAGATCCACTCCCAGATGCGCAGTGGTAAGAATTTAAATGCGCAGATAAATGCTGGTATTACGCGTGTTCTTCTTCAAGATCCGCCGAAAGGGTAAAAGATGAACCAGATCGGTCCACTCACATTGAATATAAGGCAGATTTGAAGTCCAATAAGTGCATAATGTGCTATCTTTGCACTCTTGCCCTTGGTAAAAAACCATAAAGGGGTGAGGGATCTGGCATTTTTGGTCTATATAGTGACGTATACGGGGCCAAACCGATTTACAGTCCAGGTGTTTTTTCTTTCCGGACAGACTTTACTAACAATAAGTGGGTACGACTAGCGAGCGTGGGAATCTAGCAAGGAGGGGCGGGGGAAAGAGGAAGAATCGTTTTCCGGCCTGTAGAGTAAAAGTGGTGATATTCGTTTTGTGTACATGGTTTCCCGCTGTTTCAGGTGTGGCAGATGCGCTATAACACCCCGCCACTCAAGGCATTGTTATTTGGGATGAAACTCTGTAAAGGGGCTTAGGGTAATAATGAGAATGAGAGGCGGGGGGGAGGAGGGGATGCTAGGTATACCAGAGGAGGAACTTATTGAGGCGGGCGTCCACTCGCGATAGGATAGCTAAAGCCGGCAATTTGGCATGGTTCGAACTGTGGATAAATTGATACACGGACCGTGCACTACAATGTTCTACACGTTTCCGTCAATCTAGTATCATATTATGGCGAATTTGCCGTTTCTCCCCAGTCTTCTGGGCTCTTTCCGACCTTTTCTGGCCCTTTTCGAACTCACGATGCTAAGTCTGCGCTAGGTGGATTAGGGATGACATGGGAAAGATGCCTTTGTGGAAATGAGATATTGAGACGATGAAGATAAAGATTATTTTGTCCGAGCCCAACGTGGAAGAAGGTCAGTGCTGGGTGGATCAATTTCCTTGGGCAGTAGAGGGTTGCGCTCATTACGGTAATCCCACTTTTGTCAGTCAGTCTTTTTCAAGCCTCACTCCCTGGTGGACTAGCCCAATTTTTCCAGTATACTCTCCTTGTCCTGATTTCCACGCATACATGCGCAAAAACTTTTATTTCAAAAGTCGATACAGAATCCTTACCCTGGCCACGTGCTCCCATTCGCCAAGCATATGAAGCACTTAGCATTTACTGTGGGCGATTCTGCGGCATACATATTTTCAGGTTTACCAATTGGAATGCAACCGCGCCAATTGAGGATCGTCTGGAAAAGATGCGGTCAACGTTTTACCGGCGTTACCCATTGGTTATGGCTGAATGGTTCAGGTGTGAATTCTTATAACTACTTTCCTTCTTACTCTTCTTATTCTCTCGCTTGAGTGGTCCTAACAAGGGAGGTCGTTCAGGGCGTGGTGCGCTTTTCGAAAACGGTTTTTTGCATATTGTAGGGGCTCATGCAAGGACCTGAAAAGTGTGCTTCATTTTCGCTGCGCGCTTCCAGGGTGAGAAACGAGTGAAAAGAAATCTTTGGAATCTGCTTCGTTCTGGGCCTCTTTACGGCGTAGGTCACTTGCAACTTTGACCAGTTGCTGAGTGGGGGGTCCTTATAAAGGGGCTATTTGAATCGAAGCGAAAAATCGCCGCAAGTGAGCTTCCAACTTGGGTCATGTGCTCAAGGGTGAACGGCTTCTTGCATGGTTTCATCAACGATAAGAGCGCTAGCAGTGTCGAGCATCGGATGGCTAGCGGATAAGTGGATGGTTTCGCAATCGGACAGTGAGGGGTGGGGTTGATGGTTCGGCTCCCCTTGCGTCGTGGCTTTTTGCATTTTTTAGATTTCGCTGTTCTCGCTTCCATTAGTGTCTGCGCATGAATATAACTCGGAAGATTTCCATTTATGGGCACATTCTGAGTAGCTACCCTCATAAGTTCGGTGCTATAAAGTATTTCGAATTTGCACCATTGAACAAGAAATTGTTGCTGGACTTTGGTCTTCATGGACTAGACTGTGGATCTGATTGCGAATTTAGTAAATTCTGGTGTGGTGTCAATTATAGCCAGTTCGGGGCCACATCTCCTTTCCACTGATTCGTCATGTACACCAATGTAGGGAACGTTCACCGCTATTCTGTCGCCAAATTGCGTGGACGCCAAGAATATTTGTTACATTTGTAATCAGGGCCACTGATTACCACTAAAAACGAATTTTCAGTCAAAACAATTGTTTTGACCTTCTTGGGTTTGCTTATTGGGTTGTGTCGGTGTCCGTAGCGTCAACGATACGCATCGCTGTTACGAAGATGTGAAACTCCGCTCACACTGCCGACCAAATGGTCGGCCCAACAACCCGAAAAAGTCAAGAAAAATTTTTTTCGCTCAAAACTTGCTCCTAGGGGTAATCGACAGTCCTGATCACGATTCTAGACTTTATTTTCGGTTCCAGTGCCATCTGGCACCGGCATAGCGCCGAAGAGCTGAGTCTGTGCATACTAACGAATTCGAACGAAAAAGCAGTTTACTCGCCAAAAAGTAGGATTGTCAATTTATCAGTGAAATGTTTTCGTTAGCAGCGCAATTAGTTAGAACAACACTGATCAAAAAATGAAATTGTAGAAAAGCAAAATTTTGTCCTCGTGGGATCCGAACCATCGACCTATTTTTTATGTTTTTTTTTTTATTCGTAGAAGCGCGCAGCGAAAATGAACCTCAGTTTTCTGGTCCTCGTATGTGCCCCTACAATATGCACAAGACCATTTTGAAAAAGCTCACCACGCCCTGGAACGACTCTTGTAAATTTGCGGCGTCGCTCATCTGATTTCTGCGGGTTCTTTGAATTTTCAATTATGTACTGGTAACACTCACGATGCTTTGCCGTTCCAGCCTCAAAGCGTTTCGGTTCTTGTAAGCTATCGTCTCGCACTACTCCAACTGCTGCGCGAGCGAGAATCGTTTTTGATGCACGCACAGCTTCAATTCTCAAGGGCTAACTGGCTTGTCGCAACATCGACAGCTTTGATTTCTCCTCGTAGAATACTTGATTCGTGCGGGTCATGGATGAGCTTGGAGACTCTCTGAACAATCCTTTAAGTAGAATGGTCGTAATACTTCCAAGCCGTGCGCTGAACAACCACGGTTCGACGCAGGCGGTCGCGACGCTGCTCCGCTGAGTCGTTGTCGCGAACGCGTGCATCTGAGTAAACCGTTCAGGGGTATGTGATCATGTCGTCGTAATTTAGCCAGCAACTGATGCGCTTTGCACGCGCCCACAAATAGCGTAGGTTGTGAAAATAGGCAATGTAACCAAAAATAGCCATAAATGTCGTTGTCCTCTTGAGATTGAGTGATTCAATTAGCAGGCTAACTTTCCACACAGGGCGCGGCATGTGAGCGTGCTTGAAAAAGTCCACGCTCACAGCCACCGTGAACAAGCGCGGCAAATTACGAATGCCTTGCGCGTCTCTCACTGTTTTCAGGTCAGTGCTGGCTTGTGTCGTTCACTCTTCATCTTAGGGGTGCAGGGGGGGGTGAGTCTACCTGACTACATCTTACCACAGCACTACTCACATTGCTTTGGCGAGTTTTCGTGGCAGTTTCCTTGTTAGAGGAGTGGTCGTTGATGTTGCGGTTGACTGTTCGATGACGTCTTCCATTTCCATGAAAGCACCTCCACCAGATGACTGCTCACCTGTGGGCGTGCTGGCGTCACGAGGGGTTATCAACTAGCTCTAAATGGAATAACCCTAAGAGTCCGGAAGGTCGAATGAGTAGATCAAAAGTTCCTGGTGTTCACGCTTATTCCAGGTGCTAGGTGCATCTTCTTCGTTGACGTCGTAGTCTTCGTCATCTGAAATTAAGTTTTTATTTATTTATTAAGTTAACTGAAATAAACTGAAATTGCTCCCTTAGTTTTCAGAAATTGTTTTTGCTCTACTAGGTCTGGGGTGGTCAAGAGGTCCGAGTTGCGGCTGCGCGGTGAATGCAAGAGGTGTCGTGTGCGCGGGCTTTATATGAGCCGCAGAGAGGATGAGTAATCATAGCTGCTCCGTACGCGCAAACTAGTCTGCCGCGACGGGAGTCTGGAAAAAAAAAAAGGAGGATTTTTTGGCCCATAACACTAACTTGATGCGATCGTACTTATAAGACCCCTGTTTTTTCACAAAAGAGGCTTTGGCTCAGTCCCGCTCTTTGGACTTGCTCGGAGCTAGCTGAAGGTTCCCGGAAACGTCTCACCCAGAAGTGAGTGAATCTTCAGCGCTTAACATACTGCTATGGAAGGAGTGAATAACTTGCCGCTGAATTTGGACTTTCTTGATCAGTTTGGATCAGCTTTGAGATTTCCATATCCTTATTGCAGAGGGCCGATTTGGCACGAGTTTCCAACAGGGCACGATTTCCACAAGGTTTCTATGGTGCGGGCAAAGCGCTTTGCCTCCCATAACCCGGACTGGCCATCACAGTTTCCGGAAAATGTAGCTCTTTAACGAGGAAAATGTGGGTATTTTTTCGATCCTCCAATCTGCCTATTTCATTACTTAACGCGCAATGCGGCTTGTGGAGGCTGGAGCACCAAATGGTGTAGCAGCAAACGTCTCCTAAGTAAGACTGTGAATTTCAATAGTGACCAAAGTGGCTTACTTACACCTTAAGTTAGCTTCAGATGAGTTTAAGGCTTTGAGACCGGTGATAGAATGACAAGCAATGGAACTAGCGAAAAGGCAAAATGCCTCTCTCAAGCCGAACAGCGCCCTTTCCCTTCCCTTTGCCCCAAATGCATAGCTTACACGTTCTCATCCTCTCAATGGCTCTGCGTTTATAAGTCTTTTCTAATAAAGATGGAGAGAAAGGTTAAAGAGATTGTCATTCAGGAAAAGGAGAGAAAGGTTAAAGAGATTGTCATTCAGGAATAGAAAATCGTCAAGGAAAAAAAGGAAAGGGGAAAAGAATGATGATGTGGGAGAATGAGATAAATACGTTATGCTTATGCTTGGTTATGTTTCCTTTCTCCCATCTCTTTCTATTTTTCTCTTTTCCTAACGGCTTTTTATTGTGCCTTCGAAGGCAGGACATTCCTTCTCTGAAGAAAACGAACATTCCGCGATCCCGATTCTCTCGGAAGACGCTTTTTCGCGGAAAATGTGAAGAGAAAAAAGGTGCGATTCTAGGTAAAGGACCGCTGACAGTATCACTGTATGAGTCCTTTGGACCTGCTCTTTTTATGCCAGCAAGGCGGTATCCTGCTGCCGGCTCGCTAATCGCTTCTTCACGCATCCAATGTTAATACATCTAACACTTATAAAACGAAAAACAAGGTTAAAAACTGAACTCATGAAGAAAATAGACGGGACACCTACGGAAGCTTCAAAACTGTCATTTATAAGGGCTCCAGCGTCTTCATTACTCACCGTGAAGCCGCGAAAGTGGGACAATTTCAGAGACTGTGGACCATACTATTCGTACAAGGAAGAACATTCACGATTTGGTTGGGCGCGAGAACTGGTTTTATCGGGGTAAGCTTCCGGTGTTGATCTTTCTTCTGGGATGCGCCATGCATTTTGCTTACAACCGGAATCTTGGGTCATTTTAATGCGATTTGGCATGAACAAAGCATGGCTAGGGACAACCAGCCTACAGTCAAATAGGTGTTCGTCCTTCAAGGCGTTTTCCGTACCTATTGCATGACCGCGGAGCGAACGTAGGCTTGGTTGGCCCGATCGGGTGGCATTTGACACTTGGACCCTCCGGCTCTTATATAGTATGAAACTTGTAAATGTTTACTTTGCAAAGTGCAATAAAAGTTCATGAAATATCTGTGTACTCACGTAAACTCAGTAAACCGGAACCGTTGGCTTTGTTTTTGCGACATTCATACAATTGGTGCAGGTATGTTGGCAGGCTGTTTAGCACCGCCTCTTGTCCTTCATGTATTCGGGCTCGCTAAATAGTAATTTACCATGAACGAAATTCTGAAAGGCCCTTTCCTAGTGCCGTTAATGCTCACCTCGTGCTTTCGAACGCGTTTACAATCGGCTCGTAAACGTTCTTCAATCTGTTTCTCGGTACGCTGATAAAACCCGAGGTTGGAGACTTCTTTTGCGAAATGCCGTAATAAACTCCTCTTATCGGAATGGCCACCACATTTTCCAGCTGCAATGAATAGAAGCATGAGAAAAGAGGCTGAAAAAAGGGGCGACTAAGTGGACGGACACTCACGTTCTCGTCCTCGCCCATGGTACTCTTCGTAGGAATCGCAGTAGAGCCGCATGAGTAACTTCAGCTCGCTCTCGTGGAAAGGTGGTGCTTTCTTTCGGTCTTTCATGTTTGAACTGCTGAATGAGAGACTCAAAGACCAGGAAGGCTTACTGGAAAGTCACTAACTAAAGAAGTGTCCCTATAAGGACTACCTTTTCAATAACTCACTCAGGAAAGTCAAGGTACATAGGCGCTGGCCTGACCACGGGAAACCGTCACAGCGTGGAAAACCCTTTGAATGAGAAGCACAATAGGTATAATTGGGTTAATGTTGAGATCAGGTTTGGCGAGCGGTTGGGTTCAATACAAACATACAAATAGACGGCCGACTGGCCCCAACGGGAGTGAGAGAGTTGTGGTCAGCAAACCGCGCACAAGCGAAGCCACACCGCCTCGATCGATGGGTGGGGGGTGTGAGTGGCTGGCGGGTTGGGCTGGACTGGGCTGGGTGCGCGAGGGCGCAGAAACCCACTCGAGGACACCTAACCCGTGGGTCACAGGTGTGGCTAAACTAGATGGCTCCGCGATCGATGAGTCGCTTTGGGCACTCATTTTTCAGGCGCGCATTTTCTCATCAATGAGGAAGAATTCTATTTACGATTCTTTTCGTGAGAGAGTTCGTCGAAGTTCCCGTGAGGTTCGTGGGTGCCCTGCCTCTGACATCCCTAAGAACTCTTCCAGGGGCAGCTGTGAGCAAACTATGCGTCGAGCTAAAACTTATGAATGAAGTAGTTAATCGTGAGTGCACTTCCGATTTTTTTTCATATTTGATGGGAATTAAAATGGCTCGCCGCCTCTGTCCTCCCGAGGGATTCTGACGGGTAACTTTTTTAGGGGGATCGGGCAGAGCCACGGGGAATTGGAAGCTGAAGGAAGGGGAACGGAGAAGGAAGAATGTTGAGTATTTTCCTCGACCCTCTTTTCTTTCGACTTAGGTCCTGTTATGTGGACGTGCCGCATCTATATAGGACCGCCTCCCTACCGACCGAATATGGACCCCCTGATGTGGACAAGAGTGAAGGAAATCGTTTTGTGTGCGGGTGCCTAGAAGGGCCCTCCTAGGAATAACTTGCTCGGCATGGCGGAAGGGGGGGGGGGAGGGAGATGTTGGGTATTGTCCCCGGGATGACTTGGAGGACTTGGACTTCTCTTGTTTCACAAACGCTATAAAGGGGGATCAGGTTTGCTCGTTGTTGGGAGGGAGGGGGGTCGTATTTGTCTCTGAGAGGAATTTGCGGCGTTGGGAAAAAATTTTCCCAGTTGTTGACTTTTCGCGGTTTTTCCCGTTTCACTGGTGTTATATACCTCCCCCCTCCAAGTTTTTCGAGACACGCCGGAAAAACTGGAAAGAGTAATAGGAAGTTGGGAAAATCTAAGAAAATGGTAGGTAGGATTGGGAGAGGGGGGGGGGGTCGTATCAGAGGATGGAATTAGGAGGGGTCGTATTTTGCAGGATTTATCACAACGCAATGGCGTGCCCTGCTCGGAGGACGTGAGGGTGGGGGAGAGGAATAAAGTAAGATACCGTGAGCCCCTCGAGCGCTTTTCAGGAAGGAGAGTGCAGGTAGGAAAAGAAAGGAATTAGGAGCATATAAAGGGCTTGAAAACCCGAACATCGATGGAAGAACGTGCGAATCTGCCAGAGCGGAGTGAATAACATCTCGAACGATTCATAAAGAGAGCGACTGCTTCTAAAGAGTCTGGCCCTGATTTGAATAAGTTAGCCAGCCGGCGGCGCTTATGATTACGGCCGTCAAGGCTCTCTGAAGGCATCCACATAAGTCTTGGGTTACCGCCTAATGGCGGCTAGCGAACGGGGGTTGAATCGATTGTGGCTGGCTGACTGGCTGGCTGGCCGGTGTGCGGGTGAGTGGCTGAGAGGAGACGGGGCGACCACGGGGTTTAGCGCGGTTTCCACAAGGACGACCCTGATATCGATGGCGCTGCGAGGCGCAGAGGGCTCTATTGGCCCGCTGACTAGGAGTCTGATGCCGAGGAGAATCAGAACCTCATATTCGTTATTGGTTCGGAGGTTTCGTGGGGTGCTCGCCTGGGGACCACTCAAATGGCGTAGTTTCTAGAGAAAATGGAGAAGTGGGCAGAACTCACTTCATTTCTGAAGGTTCGGCGCTAGAATTGCCGTTGGATCGTCGCCCATGAGAAGAGCTCGCCTTTGGCCAGTTTGGGTGCTGGCGACGGCTGAAAAAACAGAGGTTGTGAGAGGGCTCCCAAAAAATGGGAAAAATAAGGGCGAATTAGGAAAGGACGGTTGCTCGCCTAGAGTCTTAAATAAAGAGTCCTAAAATTCCCTTTTTAGTGGAGACGCGCACATTCATCCATATAGGTCTCGATTCCTTTTATGAAATGACTACTATTCCACATGGCTACTGTTCCAAAGCATTTTCACCTAGCGTTTCTCAAAAATCGATAAAGAATGAAATAATAGTGCTTACCCTGAAGATTTCCTACCCATCGTTGACGTGGAAGGATGCCTCTTGTCAATGAAACAACAAACGAGAAAGTGCAGAATCGCCGCCTATAGTTGGCTGTATAGCGCGCTTTAGCAGGTCGCTGACCCAGATAAACGCACCAGACTCAGTCTATCTGTTTGTTTCTTGTCTTTTGTCTTCATCTGACATTTGCTAACGAACAAGTTTCTTACCGTCATTAATCCTTACAACTAACTTTATCTGCTCAGGTTCTACATACACATTGGCGAGAAGCGCTGCTTTGAATAAATATTCATAATGCGTCAATATTCTGGCCGCGAAATCGGTCAAATTGCAGTAGACGTCGATTTGAAAATTGCGGTTTTCGCGGCCTTAGCGAAGGGAGGTGCCGGCGGAAAGGGGGGGGGGGGCCCGCTCTGCGCGTTACTAGTCGCTATTGTTACCTCATGTTACACAGCTTTATTTCCCGGCGGATGAAGGGCGTGTCACGTTGGTATGGTTGCCCAAGCGTAGCCCGTTCCTCTTGCCAGTTGCTAGAAGAGGTATGCGACACAACTGGTACCAAACAAGTGATACGAACAGTATGATACATCTTTTCCTGCTCGCTTTAATAGCTGTGGAGCACGGGTTTGCAACCGCCAACTGATCCCGTCTTGACACCGCAATTGTCGTCTACACGAAACACTTTAACAGGGCCTCACCTCTCGGCTCTGAAAAACCGTTGTGGACTCCGAATACCGGTACATGAAGCCAGAACTTTCACAACAAATCACAATTTATCCATATCGCTGGCTCCCACCGAGAGCGAGGTGCGTTGCGCCTATCAGTTGTGAATTCTTGTCACAAATCTACAATCTCCCCTGAATTCTTCCTCTAGTACGACCTCAGGTAAGTTTCGAGAATATTAGGCAGGATGGGAAGGAATCTATAACCTGCTTTCCCATCCTGAACTCTATTTTCCCAACTTTTGTCGTCAGCCGTGGGAGAGGGGCACAAACTTCCGATCAACTAGCTAGTTTTGTGGCACCGTCACCTAGGGGAAAAGGGGGGGGGGGGAGTTTGTGGTCTGTAATGCAAACGGAAGAATCAATATCAAAGAAATTCCTCTCACCATCAAATACGAACCTCGCTGTTTATCAGCGGACAGATAATCCTGCGACATCCCTCGTATCAATGGCCCAATCCACCAGTAAATATTGAAACTTACTGTCTTAGTGGACTAGGCGTTCTCACTCTGTGCTTGGACGATCCAGTCAGCGTTTAGGCTAATAACGACAACGGCAAAGACATCAAGTGCCAACGGGAAATATACAAAACATGCCTAGATTTCACGAGAAAGTTGAGATTCCACTAGACGCGCCTTTTGTCACGGGAGGGGATTGGTATACCATTGCTTCCTAGTTCTTGTTTACAAATCTCATTTCTTTGGAACTCGTGACCTTGTGAAGCTAACAATATCGTCTAGCACACCAATTCGATATCAACGCTCGTCAACTCGAGGAAAATTTACCTAGATAGGTCGGCACATCTATGGAAAGCACAATGCCCCCCCCCCGTCGACAAACTGCGCCCTACTAGACTTTTAACGCTAACAATTCTAGCTGTTCTTTTTTAAAAGTGCAGCTAGCGTTTGTCATTCGGAATGTTCTCAGTAATGCGTCAAGCACTCGAAAACTGGACGCACTGGAATTATTCCGCGGATATGAGTCAAATGTGGGCAATGAACGTGGGATTCTGCCATCGATGTGTAATTGCTGATGTCAATATCAAGCCCAGACCATAAATATAGACTGATGTGAGAAAAATTCTGGGTGAAAGAAAAACACGCAAGTGGCAAGTGTGCATTCAACATCTTTTTGGAGTAGGGCGCTGTTCGGCTCAGGGGGAGGGGGTGCTTTTAGCACTTTAGCTAGCTCGTGTTAACTAAAAAAATCTTATTTTGGTCAAAGCTGTAAACCCTTGTTAAGGTGCGAAATAGTGTAAGTGGAACGCTTCAGACAAAAGTATTCTCAGCTCTTCACAAGGTGATGTGCAGAACCCCTGACATCTCTTATTGCCAAACGCGCCCAGAATCGCAAAGCCCTGCGACTGCGACGTGGCTAGGACCAGAAGCTCGCGGAGGTATCTCTCGAGACTCGGCTAGTCTACAGCAACTTAGCCCATTAGGGAAACTAGTATGGGAACAGTGAGCCCTTGGCTGTCAAGAGCATTTGTGATCAAGTAAACCCCCTGGATTGGAGGTGGGCGTGCTGATCGAGCCTCAAAAATCACCAATGCGTGCTAAGTGGAAGTTGCTGTTTTCTGGATTCCTCGAAAATTATCACATAGGTTATTCTTCCTGCATCTCGTATCATCTTCCTTACAGTATAAACTACGCATAGTCCTCGGTAAACATTTACGCTAACACTGAGGTAGCGTTCAGACTTCGCGACGACAGCGCTTTGGTCGCGCGATTCGACGATCGATACGCATGCTTTCGGC